ACTGAGATAAGCCAGACTATGAAAGACAGGCATTGTATGTCCTCACTTAATATATACCAAATGCTTGCATTCTACAGCAGAAATGGAAAGACTGGATGGTATAATAGCAGGAAGGGCAACAGTAGATATCAGAGATAGTATAGAAAGGGATGGGTGGTAAGGGGTGAGAAGAAGGAGATCAGGGAATAAACAAACATAACATTTAACATATAGAAAAAGGAAAAGTTATCTGTGGATGATAACATATACCGTAACATTTTTGACTTGACTAATATACACTGTATTCATGCTGGGAAAAACCATGTTGTACACCGTAAAGATGTACAGTGATTAAATGCATATAAATAAATAAAATAATAATTAAAAAGAAAAAGTTGCTCTCAAATTTGTCTAATGTTTCAACATTTTAGTTACTTTCTAAACACTATTAATGTCTTTAATAGATAATTTACTTTTATTTGTTTATTATCAATTTAAAATTTTTAAATAGTTATTATTATAAATTTGTTGATATAAAAATAATATTTAGGGCATCATAACAGGCATTTTTTTGCAGAACATCTCAAATATGACCAGAAAAATTCCTGGAAATATTCCCACTTTGCAGGAAAACTATAAATGGAAGCCTAAAGAAATAAACAACTTCTAAGAGTACCCAATTAACTTTTCAGATCTCATATCAGAAAGCAAGCCTCTCTATGCTTAAGCTAACTGTTCATAAAATGTTGATTTTTATGGTATTCTATTACTCAAAAGTTAGCAATTCATTCAAATTATTTATAATAAACATTAACCAGAAAGTTACTGATGGGAACACCCCCTTCTAAGCCATGGCAAGTAAGAAAGTCCTTGCACATTCAAGTAGTCATGACATTCATCAGCATAAAAGGAATCATGTATGAAAGAAAAGCAGGCCCACGGAACATTTCAAATTGGAAAAATTAATACTTGATAAAGGGGATAGTTCAACGGAGCCAACAAAATATCATAAATTACAAATTAAGGCTTCCACTTGGAGCAAATCCCACTCTAAGTTTCAGGGGAGAGAGGGAGTAGACAGAAGTACCAAGTCTCAGTTAGAATTCTTTTTTAAAAGTTTCTTTCCTCAATATTTAACATTTCAGGGAGCAAGGTTAACAAATAAACTAAAAAGTGAATGAAAACTTTGATCATTTTCCATGACTCTTTTTACCCAACAGTTTTCACTGTATTTTTGAAAAGTAAAAACTTTTTTTAGTAACTTGCCATTCTTCATGCATGAATTATACAACTAGAGATAATTTCTCTTTCATTTCTTTTTTTTTTTTTTTTAGCATCAGTTCATTACACTGAATTAAGGTACAAGACTTGCTTTACAGTTGTGTACCCTTTGATACAATTAAATGAACTTATGAGGCCAATTTGAACATGAGAGAAATCATGCAACTAAATTAGGGGGAAAAAAAAGAGGGCAGTAAAGGATGTGGGCATTCTGAACACAGTGCTCTAAGCCTGAAGAAAAGAAAAAGGCAACATTTATTACACCTGGTGTTAAACTTGATTATGCACATTTGCCTTCTCTGAGTAATTTTAAGGAATACACGGTAAATACTCAATGCAACTAGTTCTACAGTATATTCTTCTTTACCTTCACTTCCCATTTGGACTATTCTCCTGAGGCCAGAAATGATTTCCTGTAAGATCCAGACATGACAGTAATTTGCTCCCACTTAAAGATGTATTAAATTCAGTGATTCAGAGTAACTTTAGGTGAATTTTACACTCACTGTCTTGTTTAACATAATGAACCAGAAACATTAACTTTCAGTGAGGATGGCTTTTTCACAGAAGTTGTGAGTTAGACAACTCAAAGCAGAAAAGCTTTCTTCAGAAGGATCTAAGAACTCTCCCATGGGAGGAGAGAACTGCCATGTGTCCTGGATGGCGATGCCCTTTCATACCACATCTCGACTGCATGAAACTAGAGTACAGTTAGTATCCAGACAGGCACCCCAAACCCGGAGTAGGAATTGCAGGGATGGGAATCTCTGGGGCAGTGAGCCAAGAGTGCGATAAAGATGTAGATCCCTGGGGTTGGCTCCTATTGGGTATCCCAGTTTTAAGGAGGCATAAAGACCTGTGGTACAATTTTGGACATGTCGGCTTTGTATATTTGATTTTCTTGCTTGGAAATTTTGATTAGTGCATAAAAATATTATAACATTACCTCTAAATATGCAAACTACAGTCACAGTTGGCAACACTTAATATATTTAATAGTCCCTTAAAATATCAGAGATTCATCCTTTCCTGTTGGAGGAATAGTTTCCTCAGAAGATGCTTCAGAAAGTCACATGGCTTTATCATAAGTCCTCTTAAAGGAAGCAACAAACTAATGAATACTTCAAACAAGGGTTAGTATTCTGTTAATATATATGTTATTTCTTGAAGAAATACAGATGTGGCCTCAATTTTAGTGACATATTTATAACATGAATTTCTCTTAGGTAAATAAACCATTCAACTTCTTTTCTTATCACCTTGCAATATATTATTGTGAAACAGCAGTACTTAGGCTTCAGGTGGACACATGCTAATGGCAGATTGACCCATGTTTATTGACATCCAGGATAATTTTTTAAAAAAGGCTTTACCATAGGGTGCATGCACTCACCAGAGAGAGACAAGAGAGAAGGAGAAAGAGAAATCATCCCCCAGGGGGATGACCACACCACAGTCCCTTCTTCTCCATTCTCCTTTTGGGACTTTGGGCTTGCATGCACTCGTACCTGGCCTGATCTTCAAGTCACCATGTACAGGATTCAAATCCTCACCATGGTCAGCCATGTGGGAATCCAGCACCTTAACCACCATGCCACCTACTGGCTCCCAAAATTGTAGCATTTTTGAGGCATTTTCATGGTTAATGGAGAGGAATATTGGACATCTGAAACGGGTATCTGGATGTTATGCTATATTTATTCTTTCATGTGTTTCATTTTTCCAATGGGTGTGTTACTATATAGCCACAATCTTAATTAAAATAAAAACATACAAGAACTACAGCATAAAGGTTTAAAACAATATTGCAAAAAAAATGAAAAATAAGAAAGTACATAGAAAAAAAATGGTGTCTGTTTTTAAGCCATGCTTCTCATTGCTTATTACATGATTATCATGAATGATGTATTATCAAGGTCTTCCTCTGCTTCTATCTATCTTGCGGACTGCTTTTAGGTTATTTACTAATAATATAGACTGCCAATGGAAGAAGAGTAAGTGCAAGTAGCTAAAATGAATCATTTTGTCCTTTGTTTATGAATATAGTTCAAGGTTAGAATGAACAAGGTTGAAATTTTCAGGAAATAAAATTTAAAGATTATTTTTATTTATTTATGCTACTATTTTGTTCTGTTACTATAATTTTTAAAAATTTTATCTTATTTGATTTCAAGTTCTTTTACACATTCAATCACATCATTTAGTTTGCAAAGTGAATATTACAACATGTTTACATTTCTCGCCAGTTCAGTTGATAATAAAATTTTATTTTATTTATTTTTTTCACTTTCTTTTATATATTCAATTATATTAGTTAGCTTACAAAATGAATATTTCAGCAGTTGAACATTTCTCCCTAGTACAGTTGATAAAACTATAAAATATCTTCAACAGATAATACCACATTTCTTTGTTCTATTAATGCTTTGCCTCCCTATTTTTCTTCTAAATGTCTTTCATCAGACCCTCCTGTTTCACACACACTATATCTGGTATTTACATCTGTATACTGTGTTTCTATATCCTTTAGTCAATCAGTTTTAGTCATAGAGTGTGGACACTCAGTATATATTAAATGGGGACATACAATGCCTCTCCTTCATAGCCTGACTTGCTTCACTCAGCAGTAAATCTTCCATATTCATCCACTTCCTGTCAAAAGCCAGGGATTTTTTTTTTAATGGCTGAATAGTACTATAATTAATTGAAAGTTCACTAGACATAGTTTAGTGGTTTAAACACTAAACCTAAAATTTTATATTCCAGACATGTTTATGTCATAATTTGGACCATTTCTCATTTTGAGGATTGTATCACTCTATATTCTCTATACTTATTTACCTATAAAATGAGGAAAATAATGCCAACTTTAAATTCCAGCAGAATAAAAAATTAAAAGAGTTCGTGAAAAGCACTGATGACATTAAGTCGTTGGGAAAGTCATGACATATTTTTCTATGTTTTTCTATGCAAAAATGCATCATGACTTTCCCAACCACCGAAATACATGGTATTATAAGAACATATGATTATTCACTACAATGTTGCTATTTTTTTACAAATGTAGTGTGAGTAATTGTATTGATTTAAGATTAGTTCAAATATGTATTTCTCCTAGGCATTGTAAGTAAGAACTTTGTGTTGTGACTTAACTAAGTAATAGTTTGGGCTGGCCCTGTAGTGTCGTGGTTAAGTGCGGTGCATTGGTGGCGGGATCCCACATGGCTAATCGAGGTTCCAATATCATCCATGGTGGCTTGAAAAACATGCGGGGCATGTGTGTGAGCATGCTCCAAACCTGAAAGGATGGAAAAATGGAGAAAAAAGTATTGTGGTATCACCATGTTGCTTTGGGGAACATGAGGTACTTTCCCTCTCTTTGTCTTTGAAGTGTGCGTGTGCCCTCTGGCAATGAAAGAAAAAAAATTAATAGTTTACTAGTCTCTGGTTTAGCAATTACAATGTGATTCTTTTTACCTTTACATCACAATTGCCTGAAATGAAAAGCACTGATAATCCAAGAATATATTTGAAAGACTTAAAAGCATGGTTCCTGATTTACTGACAGTTACTAAAATCAAAACTTTTTTTCCATTATATGCCTTTATGACTCATAGAAGTGAAGGACATACAAACATCTCCAAAATGGAACAAAAGACAGTCAGTGAGGCAATAGAACAACAGTAACCCCACATGGACATCAGCATGCATAATATATTAAAAATGAGGAGCCTTCTTACCTAGCATGCAAACACATTTGGCATTCTGATCAGGGTTCTCAAACAAGATTTTGCCACAGCTCTGAAATAGAAGGATAGCCATAGTTATTTTAAGATTTCATATCAGGATTCCTAAGACTGACATCACCATGTCTTGGTGTAAAGCACAGAAATAATATTATTTATACTGGAATACTATACAGCCATTAAAATGAGTTAGTTGCATACACTATAAAAATACAATATATAATATGTAATATATATATAT